AAGAAGTCAGGACAGGAACACAAACAGGGCAGGAACCTGGAGGCAGGAGCTGATGTAGAGGCCATGGAGGGGTGCTGCTAACTGGCTTGCTTCTCCTGGCTTGCTCAGCCTGCTTTCTTATAGAACCCAGGACCACCAACCTGGGGATGGCACCACCCACAATGGTCTGCCCACCTTCCCAATTAAGAAAATGCCTTACAGGGTTGCTTACAGACCAATCTTGTAGAGACATTTTCTTAATTGAGGTTCCCTCCTCTCAAATGACTATGGTTTGTGTCAAGTTGACAACGATCCGCACAGTTTCCCAGGTGACTCTACTGTGTAGCTAAAGGCTGGGAAGTAGTGGTCTCGTTTCCATGTGTTTAAAAGAGAGTCACAGTATAAACCAGAACCACTGTTAAGTCAGTACCCATGTAGCTACCGGGCCAGAGTTTACCTGACCCTTTATGAAGGGATATGGGAGGACTCTCCACAGAAAGTGAGGGCTTTCATTATACTTGCTCTCATACAAGCTCTTCATTCCAACCCCTAGACATTGAAGTTTCATTGCACAGACTGAGTGTAATTTAAGGTTATTTAAAAATATTCTTGTTCAGAGCCAGATGTGGTGATACATATGCCTGTAATCCCAGTAACTTAAAGGCTGAAGTAGGAGGAATGCATGATTTTGGCTACATAGCAAGATCCTTTCTCAGAAAGCCAAGATAAATAATAAAATAAAATTCACTCTTCAATTAAATTTTTAAAACAAAACAGATGGCTTCCATTAGAAACTTTGAATTTCAATAATAATTCTTACTAGTACCCTGGATAATTGACTGCTATTAACTCATTAATATTCTAGTAGAGTGCTTCATGCTAATAAAATTTATTTCAAAATGAGTTTTAAGAATATGTTGCTACAGCTCAAAGATAACAGGAAGTTATTCCAACTAATAGTGTATCAGTGAAGTGTGTGATTATACTGTTATTTGCTTGCTTCGTATCACTTTTTTTATTTTGTATTGATTAATTGTGTTTCAGAGGCACACATTTATCTGAATGCGCCTTGGCAAGTGTTAACTACATCTAGAATGGGAACAGGGGTATCTCTAACACAGCACCTTCTGAATAGGCTATCTCAGCTAAGGTATCCTGCTCTATCTCTTTGGGTTGGGTCCATCCCAGGGCTTCATCCTTGAACCAGATTTGTTTTCTTCATAGTTAAATGTATCTATTTTGAGGTCATTGTTGATTTACATGCAGTTATGGAAAATATTACAGAGAGATCTCTAAACTATAATGCAATGTCACAACCAATGTGTTGATATTAATGCAGTCAAAATAACCTTTCTGTCACCCCAAGGACCCTCTTCCCCTCATGCCCATTATAGCTGTCTACTTCCTATTACTCCTGCCCTCATAACCCCTGATGAGCACAGTTCTGTTAGCCACCTGTTCTTATGGGGGCTTACAGGATAAAATTGTGTCTCTGGTTTTTTAAGAAGAGAGAAGAAACAAATGTTCACATGTGAAGCACAGTAGGATAGAGGATGACTGGACATGAAAACAAACTTTATGGTTTTAGATGACACAGACTTACTTTTGGAATTAAATCCTTGAATATATCATTTCTTTAGAAAGCATTTCCTGACATTGGTGTTCATGTTAATCTCTCATGATTCCTCTGGCTTAAATTTAGCTGTTTTGTTGTTAGTCATATCTGATCAAGTCCATGGACATTTCATTTATTTTCTGTCTCTCCTTACCTTGGGATGAGTCTAGAGGTTTCTTGTCAGCCTCAAGCTTTGTCAGTAGTGAAAAAGTAGAAGCTGGAGATGAGTTATTTACCTTTTCTTTAAAAGGGAATGTTCTTGAAATGTTTGTACCATTAAATAGGAGAGACATATGCTGTGAGGAGGAAGGGGAGGTTGGGACCTTAAGTGTCTTACCCAGTATCATAGTTACTGTTCAGTTGCTGGGAAGAGACACCATGACCAAGGCAACTCATGAAGTATTTAATTGGGAACTTGCTTATAGTTTCAGGGGGTTAGTCCATGATCATCATGGTGGGAAGCAATCAAGCATGACACTGGATCAGTAGCTGAGAGCTTTATATCCTGACCTGCAGGCAGCAGGTAGTGAGAGAGAGACAAAGGCAGAGACAGACTGGGCCTAGTGTGGGATTTTGAAACCTCAAAGCCTACCCCCAGTGGAAAACCTCCTCCAACAAGGCCACATCTTCTAATCCTTCCCAAACAGTTCCACTAACTGGAACCAAACATTCAAATATATGAGCCTATGGGGGCCATTCTTATTCAAACTACCACACCCAGTGAAACTTCAGTCTTGATTGAACTCATATATTCTTTTTCTTCATCTGAGTCAGCATCACTAAACTTCAGGGGAGAGAATCACAGGAGTGAGCTGCCAGGCTTCTCCACCATTCCTGTGCAGTAGCGTAGCAATCCATTCATTATGCCTATGGAGTGCCTAATGTGTGCTATGTGACCTGGGAACTGAACTCATATTTGTTTGTTTTGAGTATCAAGGATTGAATCCAGGACCTTGTACTGCTAGGCAATCATTTCATCAATTAGTTACACCCACAGCCTAAACTTGTATTTAATTTGGATTACTTTACATTTAAATAGTTATGTGTAGTTTATGGCTACCAAATGGATAGCACAGAGATTCCAGATTACCAATGTTAGGCTGTTTGCTATCAGTGAGGCAAAGCTGAATTGCTTGCTTAAGCCAGAAGGAACCTAAGTTGTTCCCAGAGTCCTATGGCTTTCACCCATTCTCCATCCAGATCAGTCTCTAAGATAGAGCTGAGTAAATATTTCCAAACCATTAGTCTGAGAGAGAAACAAATAATGCTCATGTCTTTACTTCTTAAGGACTGAGATTAAAGGCATGCATGTGCTACCACCCTGCCTGGCTGCAGTTGATCCATAGTAACTGCTTGATTGTCATCTCTATTATGATGAAGCTGCTGATGGTGACCATGACCCTGATCATAAACATTTTCTGGAAGAGAAATTTGTGTCTCTTATATATGTCCACAAGAGGGCAGCCTGAGACCTTGCATGTCCATGGAAAAGCCTTGTAAAGCCTCAGGGTGTTTATGGGCAGTTTCAGCTTTTTGACCGCCATTTTTTTTCTTCTTCTTTCCAGTTTTTCTTTTTCTAATATTTTGATAAGTCCCCAGACTTGCCTCAGATGTAAAGCAGACCTGTTATCATCAAGATTGTGGTGTGGTGTGCCAATTAAGGCTTGGGTAGGCACGTCGGTATGGGTACTGGTGGCTGCATCTGACCAGGCCTCGTGGTTTTTATAGCTTCTCAGACAGAACAAAGTCATACCAGTGGAACTTGAGGTAGAGATTCAAACCTAAAAGTGTTTTAAGATAAGAAAGATCTGATGTTTTCTTCTTACTCCTCTAACACTAACTTCATGGCTTCCGTACAGCACTGTGTGTGTGTGTCTTGGAGACACTGGGTAAGAGGTGGTAGTTGGAACTGGGCAAACCTAGAGCTATCTCAGTTATACATAGCTCTGGAGGCTGCCAGGGAGGCCAAGTTACAGAGATCTGCACAGGAAAGAAGGATGGAGTAAGGGCTTCACTAATTGTATGGGAGCATGGGGCATCATGGATCTTGGAGTCTTGAAGGTAGGTGAGGTTAACAAGATGGCAATGGTGGTGGTGGTGGAAGAGGCGGGCAATGTAAGCTAGAAGATGTGGGGATGGTGCTGAGGTAAAATTGAAAAGGGAGTCACATTGTGGGGAGCCTGGAATGAGTTGGAGTTGGGTCTTTAAGTCCATGATGACATTCATATTGTTGACAGTCTAATAATAATTAAGAATTGACTAAAAACAAACACGGATCATGTCACTTGTAGTCAGGGGTTGTATTTTTCTAGTACTTGTCTCTTGAGCTTTAATATACCTGATACATAATTTACACTGCAAAACCAAATTTATGTTGGAAATCATGACAACTCAATTTGTCATGTCGTCCCCCCTCCAGTACCTACACTGTAGGCCTGGCTTCCCTGACTCTCGTTTGAATAGCAAATAGAAGAGTCACTAGAAGTGCAGATTAGTATGGCAAGAAAACATACTATGAAGTTGGTATGATGTTCCCAGAGAAGAAGGGCCCAGGCACTGAGATTGTGGTTGCATTAAAATTCTTGTTTCTCCAGAATGATATGCTTAAGCCGTATATAGCTAATTTTCATGAACAACCAATAGTAACCAATTGCAGCAAATTATTCTAAACTTAAATAGCCCTTATTTATTTAATCTTGAATTTAGAAAGCCCTTTAGGGCCTTGTAGAGAATGGGATGGGGATATGGAGATGCAGGGATATTTCCTGGACATGTTTTTTGGTAGCTGTTATTTGTTTCATCTTAGTTGTTACCAATATTTGAATGGTAAATATGTAGGAGTATATTATATTCATTTTTTCTTTGTAGTTCTGAGATACTAAGATTGATATCAAAGCAAACTTGGAAGAACTAAAATTAAACTGGAGGGTTGCATTTTACAGTGCTCTCCTAAGGTGCTTGTATGACTTCATCACAATAGATTATTTCAGAAAATTAAATCTTTTTCTGTCTGTATAATAATTGATATCCAAAAGCATATTCACCTTTTAGCTTTTCTTCTCCCCTAAATTATTCTGTGCTGGACCCACAAGCCAGATTAGAATAGGACTGGTGAGCTTCTCTGAACACTGCTGGGTTTCTGTGTCAATTGCATTTCTGACCCCCTCCAGGGCCAGGCCTTGTGACAAGAATTAACTAAATGGTTGTCAGCACCACTGCACCACTCATTGGCAAGCACATGTGGAAGCCATGACTGCTGCCCCTGAATTGTTAGGGCTGGCTGAGAATGTGTGATGGGAAGTGAGTTCCTTGAAATGAATTGGTGGCAATGGATAACACATGTGTATATCCATGCCCAGGGCCATATAACCAACCATCTCTAGCAATCATATTTTTTGTCTCATAGGCATGGATGGATTTTTAAAATCAGATGAGAGACAAAGATTGGCCAAAGAGAGACGAGAAGAAAGAGAAAAATGTCTGGGTAAGTTGTATACTTGGGCTGCTGAAGTCCAAGAAAGTATAAATGAGGTAGTGTCATTTCTGAGGACCTTAGAAATCTGTGAATGAATGGCAAGAGAACTAAGACTTGGTAGAGAAGTTTAGAGAATTGAGGGTGAACTCACACAGTGACTGGCAGTGATCACAAACACTGCATAATTCTCTGAACAGTTCATTTACTCAGCAGATATGGGACCTCCACTTGTCCTACATAGTATCCTTGGAGCTGTGGACAACAATTGCTTCCACTAGGGCTGGAGAAATGGTTCAGTGGTTAACAGGACTGGCTGCTCTTCTAAAGAGCACAGGCTTGATTCCCAGCACACACATTTCAGCTCACAACTGTCTGTAACTCCAGTCCTAGGGGGTCCAATGCCCTCTTCTGGTCTCACTGGACACTGCACACACATGGTGCAATACATACATGCAGGCAAAATACCCATACACATAAACACAACAAAATAATTGCTTCCTCTGATCTGAGGAAAGACCTGATGCCCTCTGGTATCTGCTGTGTGTGTCCACCTTCTCTTTTGGTATCTAGAAGGGCCATCCTCAATAAAACTTAGAAAACGGACACTCATTTTCTGCATTACAACAGTATGCCCAGTTGAGAAAGGCTTTTATTTATTTATTTATTTGCTTGCTTATCTATCTATCTATCTATCTATCTATCTATCTATCTATCTATCTAACTATTTATTGGTTTTTCGAGACAGGGTTTCTCTGTGTAGTTTTGGTGCCTATCCTGGAGCTCGCTCTGTAGACCAGGCTGGCCCTTGAACTCACAGAGATCTGCCTGACTCTGCCTCCCTGAGTACTGGGATTAAAGGAGCATCCACTACCCCCCAGCTGGCTTTTATTTTACTTTATTTTTTAAATTTATTTATTTATTTATTTTGGTTTTTCGAGACAGGGTTTCTCTGTGTAATTTTGCGCCTTTCCTGGAACTCCCTCTGTAGTCCAGGCTGGCCTCGAACTCACAGAGATCTGTCTGCCTCTGCCTCCTGAGTGCTGGCGGCTTTTATTTTTTAACCTCTTGTTGGCTATAGAGACCTCCATGGAGTCATGTGAGGCAGGTAGATGATAATTTTCCCCATTGAATTAAGGTCAACACGAAGCTTTTGGATTCTTGTTTGGGCTCCTGGGCAGTTCAGGCACTGCTTCCTCCAGGGAACCTTTCCCTAGCCTGGCTAAGTAGAGGTAAGGACTTCTTAGTAAATGGCTTGATGGGAAGAAAAGGCTTTGTGTATCTTTTTTTTTTTTTTTTTTTTTTTTTTGGTTTTTCGAGACAGGGTTTCTCTGTGTAGCTTTGCGCCTCTCCTGGAACTCACTTGGTAGCCCAGGCTGGCCTCGAACTCACAGAGATCCGCCTGGCTCTGCCTCCCGAGTGCTGGGATTAAAGGCGTGCGCCACCACCGCGCGGCATGGCTTTGTGTATCTTAATGCTTTGCCCAGATCACTGTACATGTTCATTTAACATGTTTTTGATTGAACATACCCTTAAACTATCATTATAATAGACACTGTATGACTTAGCTGTTGTATACAAGTTTGACTTAATGATAGCAATAATAGCCATAACTCCTATGTGTAGAAACATTACTTTGTGTTTTACATACATCGTATCATTTTCTTCAGCATATTGTTATTACTGTCTCTGTGTAACTGAGAAGGAAACCATGGCAGAGAGATAACATAGTTGGCATGCCCTATACCACTTAACTAGTGGCAGAGATAACAGAACAGTTACTCTCTATCATTGCATCCTAGGATTTCACCAGATTATCATTTCTGTGTTCTTGGTCTTAATCCAACCTGCATGAGGAGCTCTTGGAATGACAGTTATGCTTCCATTCCTCAGCTGCCCGGGAACAGCAGATCTTAGAGAAACAGAAAAGAGCCAAGCTTCAGTATGAGAAACAAATTGAGGAGCGATGGAGAAAACTTGAGGAGCAGCGTCAGCGGGAGGATCAGAAGAGGGCTGCAGTGGAAGAGAAGAGAAAGCAGAAGCTCCGGGAAGAGGAGGTGAGGTCCTAGGAGCTTCCTACCCCTGCTAGCTCAGTGACTCCCATAGGGCAAAAGTGTTCAGGGCATTTGGTGTACTGTCCAAGTATCGGCTATGAGAAAGACCCACTCCCAAATCTTGCCTGATGACTTAGCATGCCACCTTTCAGCACCACAATACAATGAATTTATGGGCATAACACTGGCAGAGTTGCAAAGAAACTTAGCCATTTGATTCAGATTTGCTGTATAACACGGAGCAAAATGCTAAGTCATCAGGCAAGATTTCATGGTTTCCAAGGCTTCTTCCAAACATAACCTTTTCTGACTAAATTAAGACACAGGGGCTTGTGGCCTGGATTTGAGTGATAGAAAACTGAGTATTACAGCCAGGAGGAGATCTATGCTTCTAGAACAGACCAAGGCCAATGAATAAGATGATCCTGTTTATGTACTGCTTGAAAACTATTCTATGTTTGAATACAAAGATGCTAGTGTATTTAAATTTTAATGTAGGTCCTTACTTTAATCATCCTTTCCAGTTACTTTGAAAAAAATGGAGTGCAGTTTGCACTGTGGAGTCCATTATTACTAAACTTTGGAAGTGTATTTAGGAAGCATATTTGAGTTATAGATTTTCTTAACAAGTATATTTTAAGAATGTAATCATACCCTTGTATCAGGTGATCATTTTTTATTCATAAGGTATAATGACTCGTCTTTTAGTATGAACAATGTAGCAGTTTGTCAGTTTCCAACAGTATAGAATACTTAGACTTTTTATTATAAATTTAGTGTTTCTTAAAGTCTTTGCTTATTATTATAGATATTCACCTCTTTTTTATAATAAAATATAATAAGATAAAATAAAAACTAACACATCCAGGTTAGACAAGACAAGCAAACAGAAGGAAAAGAGCCCAAGAGAAGGCACAAGAATCAGAGACCTACTCATTTGAACACTCAAGAATTTCATAAAAAACACTAAACTGGGAAATATATTATATACACAGAGGACCTGGTGCAGACCTGTGCAGGGCCTGTGCATACTGCCTCAGTCTCTGTGAGTTCATATGAGCTTTGATCATGTTGATTTAGAGGGCCTTGTTTTCTTGGTGTCTGCCATCCTCTCTGGCTCTTAACACTTTCTACCTCCTCTTCCATGGGGTTTCCTAAGCCCTGAGGGGACGGACTTGATGGAGACATCTCATTTAGGGTTGAACATTCCAAGGTCTCTCACTTTCTGCATAATGTCTGGCTGTGAGTCTCTATTTCTTCCTATCAGTTGCAGGAGGAAGCATCTCTGATGATGGCTGAGCAAGGCACTGACTGATCTATGGGTACAGCAGCTTGTCATCAGGAGTCATTTTATTGCTACATATTTTGTTTATTTGTTTTGTTTTTAGAACAGTATTATTTGGTTTTCCCCTAGGTTCCTAGACTATCTAGTCTCAGGTCTTGGTCACCCAAGGAGTATGGGTTCTATTTTGTGGATTGGGCCTTAAATCAAATCAGATATTGGTTGGTTACTCCTACAAGCTTTGTATCACCATTGCCCTAGTATATTTGCAAGCAGGATACCATTGTAGATCAAAGGGTTTGTAGTTAACTTGGTGTTTACGGTTCTCTTTTGGTAGCATGCAAAGTACCTTCCTATATCAAGAATTTAGTGGTAAAGGCTCTATGTGGGTACCAGCTCGACTTCTCCATCTTCAATGATTTGTGTATCTTCAGCAGTGGGACCTACCTAGCTGTCAGTTTGTGGATAGCAACCTATATTTTGACAACAGCCTGGGTTGTATAGGGATTCTCACGAGACTCCTGTTTCTAACAGCTCATTTAGATGCAACCCAATTCCAGTACTGGAAGCTTCATTTGGTGACCACACATGTCCAGTTGGGACTCTTGTTTACCCCATTATTTGGCGATTTCATTTAGATCACCTTCATATATACATATATTTTAGGAAGCTTCTACTCTGTTATGTTTCCATATGACCCCTCAAATGCTCCTTAATTTTAGCTATCTCTCCCCATATTCCCTTTCTCATCTCCCTCTTCCCTCCTGCTCCCGACTTGATCTTCCTATTCCAGCCCACCCATCCATCCATAACTATTTATTCTATTTTCCTTTCCTAATGAGATCTATCTGTGCCCCTAGTCACTTACTGTGTACCTAACCTCTGTGGTTCTACAGATTGTAGCTTGGTTATCATTGACTTAATGACTGTTATCCACATATAAGTGAATATAATACCATATTTGTCTTTCTGGATCTGGGATATTTCACTCAGGATGTTTTCCCCCCTAGTTCTATCCATTTACCTGTGAATTTCATGATTTCGTTTTTGTTACCTTCTGAGTAATACTCCATTGTGTAAATGTACCACATTTTCTTTATCCATTCTTGTTGAGGGCCATCTAGGTTGTTTCCAGTTTCTGGCTGTTACGAAGAGAGCAACAATGAACATGGATGAGCAAGTATCCTTGTGGTAGGATGAAGCATCCTTTGGGTACGTGCCTAAGAGTGGTATAGCTGGATCTTGAGGTAGCTCAATTCCCACCTTTCTGAGGAACCACCATATTGATTTCCATGGTGGTTGTACAAGTTTCCACTCCTACCAGCAATGGAGGAGTCTTCCCCTTGTTCCACATTCTTTTCAGCATGAGCTGTCACTTATTTTATTGATCTTAGCCATTCTGATGAATATAAGATAGAATCTCAAAGTAGTTTTGATTTGCATTTCCCTGATGGCTAAACATTTCTTTAAGCATTTCTCAGCCATTTGAGTTTACTCCTTTGAAAATTCTCTCTTTAGATCTGCACACCATTTTTAAAATTGGGTTAATTATTTTCTTGATATCTAGTTTTTAGATTTCTTTATGTATTTTGGATATCAGATGTGTAATTGGTAAAAATATTTTTCCATTCTGTAGGGTGCAACTTTGAATGACAGTGTTATTTGCTGTGCAGAAGCTTTTCAGTTTCATGAGGTCCATTTATTTATTTATTTGTTTGTTGTTTTTACATCCCTACTGCAGTTTCCCCTCCCTCCTCTCCTCTCAAGTCCCTGCCTCCCCTCCCCATCCATCCACTCCTTCTCCTCCTCTGTTTCTCTTCAGAAAAGGGCAGACCTCCCATGGATATCAATCAGCCATGATATATCAAGTTGCAGTGAGACTAGGCGCCTCCTCTCCTATTAACGCTAGATGAGGCAACCCAGTAGGAGGAAAGGATCCCAAAAGCAGGCAACAGAGTCAGAAACAGCCCCTGTTCCCACTGTTAGGAGTCCCACAAGACGACCAAGTTACACAGCTGTAACATATATGCAGAGCACCTAGGTCAGTCCCATGCAGGCTCCCTGGTTGTCGGTTCAGTCTCTGTGACCTCCTGTGAGTCCAGGTTAGTTGATTCTGTGGGTTGGGTTTTCTTATGATACCTTTGATCCCTCTGGCCTACAGATCTTCTTCCCTCTCTTCTGCAGGATTCCCTGAGCTCAGCCTAATGTTTGACTGTGGGTCTGCATCTGTTTCCATCAGTTGTTAGGTGAAGCCTCTCTGATGACAGCTGGTTAGGCACCCATCTATGAATATAACAGAGTATCATTAGGAATCATTTCATTGACTTTTTTGGGTTTGGTTCTATCCCAGGTGCTTGGTTCTATCCTTGGTCTCTGGGCTATCCAGCCTCTGAGTCCTAGCCCTCCAGGCAGTGTCAGGGGTGAACTTCCTCTGGTATGGATCTCAAGCTGGAACAGTTATTGGTTCGCCACTCTTACAATGGAAGGTTTTGTGGCTGGATTATTGTCCTTGTCCTTCCATTGGAAGTCTTGCCTGGCAACAGGAGATGGCCAGTTCAGACTCTGTATCCCCCATTGCTAGGAGTCTTAGCTAGGGGTCATCCTCATAGATTCCTGAGAGTTTCCATTGCACTGGGTTTCTAGCTCTTCTCAGAGATGCCCCCAGATTCCAATTGTCTTTCCTAGTACTCTCTCCCTCCATCTTCCACCCACCTGATCTCTCCTGTTCTCATCCCCACCCTAGCATCCAGACCCCTTGTTGATCTTTGTGCCTGCACACTTAGTTCCGTTCAGAAAGTCCTCTCCTGTGCCAGTGGGTTCAAGGCTATCCCCCACTTTCTCTTCTATCAGATTCAGTTTATCTGGTTTTATGTTGAGGTCTTTGATCCGTTTGGACTTGATTTTTGTTCAAGGGGATATGGATGGATCTATTTTCATTCTTCTACATTCAGATATCCAGTTTGACCAGCATCATTTGTTGAAGATACTGTCTTTTTTCAGGTATGTGTTTGTAGCTACTTTATCAACAACCAGTTGTTCCTGGGTGTGTGAATTTATGTCTGGGTCTTCGATTTAATTCCATTGATCAACATGTCTCTTTTTGTGCCAATACCATGGTGTTTTTATTACTGTATCTCTGTAGTACAGCTTGAAATTGGGGATAGAGATACCTCCCACTGTTCTTTTATTATTCAGTATTACTTTAGATATCCTGAGTTTTTTGTGTTTCCATGTGAAGCTATCAAAAATGTCCTTTCAAAATCTGTTGGAATTGTGATGGAATTAATTGACTTGCTAGATTGCTTTCAGTAGGATGGCTGTTTTTACTATATTAATCCTACTGATTCATGAGCATGGGAAATCTTTCCATCTTCTGATATCTTCAGTTTATTTTTTCAGTGACTTGCAGTTTTTATTATACAAGTCTTTACTTGCCTGAGTTACCCCAAGACATTTTTTTTATTATTTGAGGCTATTGTGAAAGGTGTTGTTTTCCTGATTTCTGTTTGCCATTTATATATAGGAGGGCTAATAATTTTTGTGAGTTAATTTTGTATCCAGCTACTCTGCTGAAAATGCTTATCAGATATAGGCATTTCCTGGTGGAATTTTTAGATTCACTTATGTATACTATTATATCATTTGCAAATAAAGATACTTTGACTTCTTCCTTTCTAATTTGTATCCCCTTGATCTCCTTAAGTTTGTCTTACTGTTCTAG